TTTCAGCAGGAGTGTTTGATGTTCCACTGCTGTGCTGGGCTACCAAAGAGGTGAAAAGCAAAGAACATTGTGACAAACATCCTGCAAAGGGATGTGCCATCCCTGCTCCCCCAGCTCAGGGCTGATCATTTATTACTGAGGCAGAGGACAGCTTTACATCTGTTCATGCAGACACAGACACAGCTTTTCCAGCAGAGGTGTCCACAAGCTACAGGAATGAGGTGGAGACCAACAATTCATTTAGTACAGGACAGACACTAGAGCTGAACAGCTCCATTTCTCAGCACAGCAATTCAGCTGCAGGCCCAGGGGCTGAAGCAGACCCTGAAGAACCATGAACTGCCTGCCTGTGACTTGTGGCCAGCCATCACTATCAAAATGCCATCAGAGCTGATAGAAAAACCTGCAGTGTTACAAACTGACCTGCAATTCCACTTCAGTTCTCCTCCTCCCATTTCTGTGATAGAATACAACCAAATTCCCACTCAGCAGCATGGTAATTAGATATTCAAAAAGCAAACAAATTTCACACGACAGTCCCCAGGAGGGTTATAGTCCCCAAACTGATATACATGGAAAAAACATTTTAGTTTACTTAGGGCCATTCTGGTAACAACAGGCTTGGGGGGGATGTAATTAGTATCCTGCAAGCCAGCATATGAAAAGGTTTAATTTAACCTACCAGACTGAAAGAATAGCTATAGAAATTAAAAGTGAAGCCACAAATCCACACAGGACTGCCACAGCTAGGAGTTTTTATAACCAGGAATTGTAGAGTGGTAATTCACATGTGTTGCATTAAGAATTCTGCTTATCCAGAAGGGGAGGCATTATTTTGGACCACCCTGGACGAGCTGAGGTTCATCAAACCCTGGAGGTCAGCCTGTGGCTCTCTGGCACTTCTCTGTTCCATGCAGGAAGAAGCAGCCAGTGCTGGCCAGGTTAATTCTTATTCTCCAACAACATTTGCTGAATTGGTGCCTCCCTCTTCGATATATTGAACTATTATACCATACATTCAACTTATTATACTATTATATTATATATTCAACTATTTTCTTCTGTACAGAAAATCCCAACAAGTGTTCTGAACTGGGGAGAAAGTTCTTACATCACTCTCAATCAATTTTGTGGGGAAAAGAAAAGCATTATAGCAGTCTTAATGCAATGCTGCACTGACAGCAGAGATTACCAGCAGAGAAGGTAAAAACCAGCCTTGCAATATTCCCTCTGCTGTGACCAATGGCACATGATGGAAAGCAGCTCCTTTTAAATCAACCCAACCTACCAAAAACCCCAGAGAGGAAGATTTGAGTGTCAGAAGGAGCTGCTGGAGGTGACAATAATTGCAGCTCAAGGCAAAGGGATGGAGCCACCACACCCATGGACAGGCAGCCCTTCCCACAGCACTCTGCCTGACACAGAATCCTGCACAGAATTTGGGTGAGGTAAAGCTCTAGGCTTTTTTTAGATTTCGACCATTTGCATTATGCTGCAGGCATATAAAAAACCCCACACCATTCCAGACAGCAAGTTGTTCCAGCACATTTTGACTTTCCAAGTGCAAAGCAAAGGAAACATTTAAAAAACATGTCTTGTAAAGCTTTTGCTGCTCCCTGTTAAGATTTGCTGTCATCGGGACAGCATTTTTTGGATGAAAAATGTTTATTGCTAAAGGTCACAGAGTTGTCTCTTTCGAACAAATTAAGAAATAAATGGCTGCTGACACTTCCAGAAGATGATTCATCTGTCCAGGAGCTCAAATAATGCACAGCCACAGCTGCCCCTCAGGTTTGCTGCAGACCACAGCAGCCACCAGCTAACGCAGAAATCTGTCTGCACTCTCCTGTCACTCTGTTAGCCAACTTCTCAGCCCTCTGCATAGACACACCAAAAATTCCTTACACTCAAGCTTAAAACCAGATGAAAAACATATGAAAATAACATCTGTCAGGACAAACACTGCTTGCAGTAGCCAGGTTTCCACACTTACTATTTCCATTATTACCAAAGTCCTCTTTCCTTCGTGTGCAGCAAAGATTCTCCATGTATGAGACACAGGGATGAAAGAGGCTGATGGATCAGCACCAACATTCCCAGAAAGCAGTGAAACAGCAGAATAAGAGAGAAATATTCCAGCACCTCAAGGGCAGCTGGCAAAGCCCAGCACATTTAACCCCAGCACAGGTCAGCACACAAGAAATGCTGGCTGGAGAGAGATAGAGAGAATCTCCTTGCCAGCGAAGGTCAAGCTATTGAAGAATATTCTTTAAAGAGTTATTAAAGTTCTGGAGGTCTGTTTAGACAACCCTTGAGTGAAAGGCCAGTGTGAGGTACAGCAGAGATATCCAATGTTTTACCCTGTCAGAGTAACATCTCCATAAAAAAATTAATAACAGATTTTTATTGAGTGATTATCCTTTCCATCCTTGGCTTTTCACTGGAGTTTATGGTGACTATTTACTGATCTCTTCAGGGAAGGAGATGACATTTACTGTTCCTCCTATGCCCCTCTGATCTCAGCCATGGCCTCTGCTGTCACTACATCCAACAGTGATTCTGTAACTTTAAAAGATGCTGCTACAAATTTAGGGGGCTGTTATTTCACACAGAAGCACAGAATTCTTGAGGATAATACAGAATGCTTTGCAGACAATGCAGAGGACCAATCATTTAAGATTTGCAAAGAAAAATCAAGAAATTTCTTCTCATTCTTTTTACTGCTCTCCAGTTCTGTGGCACAGCTGTGATGATCATCAGCTTGGACGTGGAGTTCTTATTATCTTCCCAATTTAATAATAAGAAACAGATAACCAGAGCAGTTGCCTAACAGTCCAAATCCAAGAATGTGCTCTTTTCAAACATATAATATACAAGTAAAAGTTTTCCTGGAACTTCTGCTCCTTCATGCATTTCAGTTTGATGCATTAAATGATCAATTCTCAGTTACTGGGTTGAAGTGTTTGTTGTTTAGGGTTTTGTTTTGGTTTTGTTTTTTTTTTTTTAACAATGGATAAATTGCAACCAGAAGTTTGTAGCCATCATCCTTTCAAGTCAAGATCATGTAATTAGGATTTAAGAGCCCCCTAGGACTTAGGATCTATTTAAGCCCATTGAGGGATGTGCAAGCCAACCTCAGTGTGGGTAAGGAAGAAAAGTGCAGATACAGAACTGACAGCACTGAAGGAAAGATGTTTCATCCTAACCAGCAATTGTCCCAGTGTGCAGAAATCAACTCTGCTAGCAGGAAAATACTGGTTTAAAAAACAAACAAACAAACAAGAAAAATCCACCCCAAAGAGAAACCCCACACCAATTTTTATTAACACACTCTCTTTGCATGAGTGTTATTCTCTTCCCTTGACAATTTAGCCTACTGTCCAGCACCTGGAGTCTTTTACATCCATTTATAAATAGATGCTGCACACAAATGAATCCCAGCTACTCCTTGCAACCTTTGCATGAAAGGTGGATGACCAAGGGAGGAAAGTTTTTGTCTTATCAGAGGCAGGTGGAACAGAGAAGAGTGAGCTGGACAAACAGCACAGGTACAGATTGAGGCTCTCTTTCACCTGGTCAGGGCACATCTATAGAACAAGGAAAACAGACCCACAGGAAACTAGATTTCATTACTTCCACTTCTCTGAAAAGAAATCCATTTGTACAATTCACTTGTGGTTACAGCATGAGCTTGTCTAATTTGCTTCTAGACTGAGTAGCAATAAAAAGACCTTGTCAGGAAGGTGGGTTTTCCTTCTCCCCACCTTAGCCTGAAAATTCTCCAAAGAAATACTTATTTCATGTAACATTGATTTGTTCAATGCAGCATGCCTTGCTTGCAAACTAATGAGAGAAGAACTTCAGGCCAAGTACTACAGCTGTTGGTCAGTGCCTGTTTGGAAGCCAGAATAGGGCAGAACACTAAATATTCACAAGCTTGTTCCAAAACTCATTTAGGAGCTTCCTAGATGTCAGGTTTCTGGAGATGTATTCTGTACAGAAAGCTCTTCTGCCTCACTTGATCAGTGGCTTGAACTCTCTACAGCTCATAAAGCTAAATAGTACCTTTAAAGGGGAAAACAGAGTTACTAGATCTGATCATAACCCCTCAAAGTCACTGTGCCCCCTTCAACACCAATCAGAGGACTTCACATGGGATTTCTCCACCTCTGCAACGTCTACAGGACAGGGGCATTGATTCCTCCTTCCCTTGCCTTTTCCACCACAGCAGGAGTGCAAAACACAAGGCAAAGTGCAGCTTAATTAACAAAACACAAGGCAAAGTGCAGCTTAATTTGCATCAGGCACCATTTAAATGGCTCAGAGAAAAAGATCTCAGCAACCACATGCACACATTGGTGCTGCAATGACAAGTGGCTGTTCCATTTGTGGTGATGTGTGTGCCAGTGACTCCACACCTCTGCAGATACTTCAACCCAATCCAAAGTAACTACTCCGGGTAATGCACTACAGAATACTGAGGGAAGTTCCCAGCAAGGGAGAGAAAAGGTTTGGATGCTGCACATTTACTCTTCAGGAGCACAAAATTCATGAGAAAGGCAAGCCAAGTCATAGGCAGTCCCAGATGGAAACCTTTTATCATGGATTCTTTTACATGTTGTGCATCAAGAAAGGAAAAATAAAGTAGAATATAAGGAGTGAGCTATTCCCACCTTCCCACCTCTTGGCATTTTTTTTGTTATTTCAAGAGTCAACATTTAACATTTTACATTAAGGGCTACACAGGCCCTTAGCTGAATATTAAAACCAGCTTCTCTGGCTTTTGATACTGCCCAGAACACAGAGCAGCCCCTGCCAGCAGCAGCTACACCAGCACACCTTGAATATGCAACATGAATTTTCTGCTTTCAAATGCACCGGAGCAAGATTGCCCTGAGCTCTGCTGCTGGCAAGTAAAACCCCTCAGGTCATGACACACGTATTTACAAGTGCACTGGCCCCTTAGGCAGGGATGGGGATGTCACATGAAGCCACCCTACCTCTGTCACTGAAGTCATCCACCAGCACGATCTCTGCCACCAGCTCGGGCGGGGAGCGGTTCAGGACGCTGTGCACCGTCCGCAGCAGCGAGGACCAGCCCTCGTTGTGGAAGGGGATTATCACACTGGTGTTGGGCAGCTTCTCCAGGTACAGCTTGTTCTTGCAGCTGGACACACACACAGGGCAAGTCAAAAGGTGCTGCCAGAACGCACCAGGCACACCAAAAAACACCCAAAACACACCAGAGCTTCCGTATTAATTACCAGCAAGCAGCTTAGTAAATTCAGTAAACTTCTTTACTCCTTAAAATGATGCAGAGTGCATTAATTTTCTTGATTTTGAAAAAGGGGTAACAAACTCTTGTGGAAGGGGATTATCACACTGGTGTTGGGCAGCTTCTCCAGGTACAGCTTGCTCTTGCAGCCGGACACACACAGGGCAAGTCAAAAGGTGCTGCCAGAACGCACCAGACACACCAACACACCAGCACTTCCATATTAATTACCAGCAAGCAACTTAGTAAAGTAAAATAAACTTAGAAAACTTCTTTACTCCTCAAAATGATGCAGAGTGCATTAATTTTCTTGTTTTTGAAATAGAGGTAACAAACTCTTGCCTTGTAGGGTTGGTTTCAAGGTGGTTTCATTAATAAAATCCTGCAGTATGAAGTGCAGTGTTTACTTTCCTGCAGGTGTGGCCATAAGTGGACTTTATACCTGGTTAAACAGGTAACCTCTAAGGCCACACAGTGACCCAAGGTAGTTAAAAACCACTCAGTAGCTTTTCAGTAGGGGTCAAAAATGTATTCCATCCCTGGAGCCCCCCGTGCCCAGAACAAACCAGTGTGTGCTGTGTGAATGGAGGTGTGTGGGGGTACCATGGACAAGCTGCCCTGTGCCCAGGAGCAGGACAGGGAGGTCCCACACTGCTCCCTGTCCCTTGCACAGCCCCCAGGCTGTCACACTGCCCTGGGGGCTGTCACTGTGCACAATCCCAGGCACACAGGCAGCAATTCCCTGCCCTGGCCCCCGGAAGGACAGACAGGGATGAGAGCAGCTCTGGCAGTTTTATCCTGGTACCTTTCCCAGGGCACAGAGAAGGATGTACCTATGTTATACAAGCTCAACACATCTGTGCCTACAGGAAGTTACCCTGGTGCCTGTGTGAGAGGACAGTGACTTATTCTGGGTGTGATGAATTGTCCTGGGGTGCTGCCAAGAGCCTGCAGGCTGTGGCTGCAACGCACAGATGCAAGATGCAAACTGAAGCTGCAGGGATTGCTTTCATCCACCCTTGGCATTGCCACCCTAACCTTCTTCCAACAGCTACTAGCTACAGGTCTGCTCCATTATGAACCAAGAGCCCTTGAATTGTTTCTACCTCTTCTTACACTGGAATCCTCATTTTCTGGCTGACTTAAACAAGTGGAAAACTTCAGCTATTAAGTTTAACCATTAAGCATGGAGAGAAATTGCTTCCCTCCAGCTACTGTATCTACAATTGCTTTACAAGACCTGCAAAATTAGTATTTAATATTAAAAACCCTAGAGGAGCCTAAAGGAACTGTTATCAGGGGAAGACATGACTGTTGAAACAAACAATTGTATGTGTGCACCAGGCAGATCCAGCACATGCTGTGCCCATGCTCCCTGAGTCCCACAATTAACAGAAAGCAGACACACTGGTTGGTATATTTAAATCCACACAAACCATCTCACACATCAGCTGCTTCTGTGCCCTTCCCCAGCCAGGAAAGCCACTGGGGAGAAGCCCAGGTGTGGCCCCAAAGCTCAGGGCAAGGCAGATGATGCATTTTCCCCCAGCACACCTTCTCCTCACACTCCTCACTGCATGTAAGGGGCTCTAAACCACAGCTCCCTTCTTCCTGCAATACTCTTTATGGACTTGTAACTTCATGGCTGGGTCTCAGCCTAACTTTGTTATAAACTGCCCTCACCAACCTCTCCAGTAACACAAACCACACCATTTCACGTATATCTTTTTAATGGGCACAGAGAATGCACAGCAGATCCTTCCAGTTGTGAATTCTTCTCTGCACATCCCCATTATAGGAAACCCTGCTGCCTGCCCAGCTAATCCCAGCACCCTTTAGGCACTGTGCTGTTTATCCTCTCCTTGAGACCCCCACAATTACAGTTTGCTGTGCTGGGGGAAAGGATTTGTCAGGCAACAAGCAAACCACTGCAGCAGCACATTAATCACAGATTAAGTTGGATTAAGTTGTCCCAGACACTTCACTTGTTAATTTTTTCTGAGGCTGGAGTTAGATGTTTTGAAAAATTGTAATTTTCAAAAAATTGTAAATTTAAAAAAAAATAAATTAAACATTCAACAAAAGTTTAAATAGCAGAATTAGCAACACTGAGTTGGCAATTTCAGGAAACACTGGAGCATGTGAGGTAACACATTAAACCCTCAGATAACAAAATACTGGCATTATCTGATGTTTAAGTTCCCAGAGCCCAAGGCAGACTCTGTAAATGGAGGCCAGGTATAATTTAGATTAGTAAACTCAAAATGTGTTTCCTAAAACTTGAGCATGGGATGATCCACAAACATCTTCAGTTACGTGATTTATCTCTATGTTTAAACATTTCAGCTGCATGCTAAAATATTTATGGAGCTACACTCACTACCTTTTTTATGTGTTTATATTGAAAAAGAGTGTCAAGCCAGTGTATTTGATTACTTTGGTGTGACAGCTGAAGAGGTAATATTTCAATTGTGCAGTTAACAAATTATAAAACCTGACTTCTGGAACTTGTATCTCGTGAATAAAGTAGATGTTGAATTCAGATTTATTAAACTGTGATAAACACAGCTTTACACAAAAGAATCTTAGATTCAAATGTCTAACAATGCTTTCAGATTAAGAGTCTCACAAACAGTATTTAAAAACCTCTCAGCTTTGTATAAACAAGGGCTAAGTCTTAACTGATGCATTTTTGCAAGAGAAAAACTTCTGGCTTGACCAAAATCCAGTTCAACACCATCCTACAGCATAATGTCCAAAACCAGATGAACTTTAAAGTCAGTATTCAATTGGAATTCATTTCTACTTGTAAACCCTGATGAGGCTGCTTTTATGAGGAAGATGTCCATAAAAATAATCCATACACCTGGTAAAACTCTTCATATATAGTTGAGTGAAGCTGCTCACATATTTTTCTGCTCCTGAGCATTCCACAGTCATTTCCAGCCAGTGGCCAACATAAGTGGAACCTCAGGGTTACATTAAAGATTTCTTCTGAGCAGGGTTGCAAGTTTGTGGTAATTTTAAGTCTTTTGAAATCAAAAAACGATTTTTTCCCCCAGATTTGATCTCTTCTATTTCCCACTGAAATTACTGTACCCCGTCCTTTATTAAGGAAATACCAGGACCCAGCTGTGCAAAGATTGGATTTTATGAACAAAGGTACAAGAGTCCATAATAAAAAAGAACACATTCCTGTAGAGGTGGTAATTTGGGGCTTTGCAAAGCTTCACTCCTAGAAATGTAAAGTGTATACTCACTTTGGATGCCTGATGTCTGGAAGGGAACGATTCAGAGAAATTTTATCACTCACAAAGATATTAAAGCCATTTTCCCTGTATGCCTGGTCCACTCGCTCTGCATCAGTCATTGGGAAAGGTTTTCCCTGTTCTCCATTTCCTGTGGATAGACAGAAAGTAAATACAGATCATTGCTGCTAATTAGTGCTTAACGGGCCAGAAACCAATCCATACACCAGAAAAAAGAGCATCTTAGAGTCCTTTGAACATTTCTTTATGAGTTTTGTGCTCTGTGTCATTTAGCACCAGGTCAACCACGTCAATTTAACAGTTTTATCTGATAAGCAGTTCTGCTACAAACCACTCAGCTGTGCAAATCCAAGGTAAAAATCTTCCCTCCTAACACCAGAAACAGATGAAGGGGTTTTGGCAATGCTGTGGAAGATCTCCAGAATGCCTTTTGTTTCACAGTGGGAAGAACCCATGTGGTTTGAATATCTCAGCACTGTTGGAATTGTCAGCACAGATGGATTTGTGCCCTTGCACTGAGGGGCAGAGCCCTTGCAAACACATCACTGTAAAGTTGTGACATTCAAAATGAGCCTGATTTGCAATGCAAGACAAACCCCAGAACTATGGAATGGACTTGAATGAATGTTATAGTCCAGAATTTTTTTCTTATTCTTTCTTTGTGGATTTCCCATTTCTGGGAGAGGTACATGCATGGTTTTTTGAGGGAGGCGGGTAATTTTTTAATAAATCAATTCTCCACCTGTCATAAAACCACCAAGATTTAAGTGATACATTTGCACCTCAAAATAGTTATTGTGGAGTCGAGGAAAAAGGAATTTAACTGGGATTAACACAGTTAAAAGATTAACAGATTAATTGGCTTTAATTATAATTTATGAAGTTTAATTTAATTTAATGCTGTATCATGTCAAGAACATCACCTTGACCCTAAAGTTGAACACGTTCTACACTCAGCCTACCAAATAAAATCAAAGTTACAATCTGTATTAAAACGCTTTTATAGCAATCTTACATACCTACACGCTCTGAGTCCCTCCTTATGGCTTCTTTGTTGTGCCAGTCCTTTTTCCTTTGTCCATCAGCAAAGTAAGTGTCTTTCTTTTGCCTCACATATGGTGCCTTTTAAACAAAAAATTGGATATATAATAAATACACAACAAATGAAACCTTTCCTCAGCTGCCTCCCCTTCCTGTAAGAGGAAATTAAATATCTCCCTTAAGGTAAGATCATCACAAGCAAGTGGCTTTTAGCCTGAAAGGGGTGAGGGAGGAAGTGAGTTTTGCTTGTCTCAGAACTTTATCTGTGTCTGTTAAGTGATATTTTTCCAGGCACCATCACATATGCAGAACATTATTTCTTAATCAGAGAATCTATTAAAAACTCCCATTTTCATTTTGAAAACCTCCAATACATCTTACAGCCTTTTTGTTAATTAAATAGGATGTACTGGGAGACCTACTGCAGGATCATTATTAATGAGACACTACCACACCTGAATAAAATCAAAATAAGATTTGAAAGGTCATTTATTAAGACTCTTGCTGCTGAACCCAATTAGAGATTCTATTTCATTGTGTTGTTCCTGAAATTCAAGCCAGGGGGGCTTTGAAAACAAATCAGCAAATGAAGATCCCCAGAAATCCAAAGTCTCCAGCTCACCTCTGACTGCTCAGGATGGAGACTCACATTTGCTGAAGGGAAGAGGAGTCATGAGAGGCACTGCAAAAGCCTGATATTGATTCACATCATGCAGGGGAAGGCCAGTGCAGCCCCAGAGCAGCTGAGCTGGTGAAAAACCACACACTCCTGCCATGGAAGGGCTCCCCTGGACTCACCACACAGAAATATCAAACTAATTTGCTTAACCTGCCTTGTGGTTTTCCAGCTGTCCTATTTAACACCACTGTTCTCCTGCAAATTCCTGTCTGGTGATAATGCCACCCCTTCTAATCACTCCCACCAAATAACCCACACCAGAGCACACTGCCATGCTGTGAAATTTTTGCCTCTGTTTTACAAGAACAATTCTTTGCCAGGCCAGCTCACTGACCAGTCTCCTCCTCTGCCAGGAAAAGTCCTGGAAAGCTCTCCCAGCCCAGAGCACCTCCTTGCCAGGAGAGTTTTGCCAACTTTCTGAGCACTAGCCTTCTGCACAAGGATCATACTGGGCACAGGAACAACTGGCAGGCCTGAAATTTTTATATTTTAGGTCTCTTTGTCTCTTGTTTGTAGTGTTCTGGACTGAAAGCACACACCAGGAGAATCACTGACGATGCCACTGTCCCTCCTGCCATTTGCTGGGATTAAAAGTGTGAAAACCCTTTAAAAGCAGCTGCTGTGGAAACCTCTCCCACCCCTGCAGAGGAGAGCATGGCCATAGTGTCCAGGGACTGGATCCAGAGGGAAGAACACACAGTGCAACCCTGAACCTCACAACACCCACTGCACCCCAAATCAAACCCAGACAATGTGAGCAGGGAATGGAGGCAACCTGGAGAAAAAGAGGAAAACCCAGACCCACCAGCAAATAGCAAAATCCAGCCTAAGAGAGGATTGCTAAGGGGGCTTAAATCTCATCTCTTTCTGAGACTTGGGCAACTTAAACTAGAATTGCAGAGGCACCTCTGAAAACATCCCCTGTCCATGGCTGCAGGCACCCATGGGGACTGCTCTCTGTGCTGGTTTGGCTGGGGTAGAGTTAATTGTCTCCACAGGAGCTGCTGTGGGGCTGTGACTTGGCTTAGTACAGGAAAGTGTTGATAAAACAGGGATGTTTTTGGGGCAGGGTTTAGCCAGAGCTGCAGCTTTTTTGCTTTGTCCTCAGAGAGGAAGGTGGCAGAGCATGGGAGGCTGGGAGGGGACACAGGCAGGACAGCTGTCCCCAGGGACATCCCAACCATGTGGTGCCACACTGAGTGCATAAAGCTGGGGGAAGAGGAGGAAGCAGGGTTTTTTGCAGTGATGACATTTATCTTCCCTGCTTTCCTGGGGAAGGCTGAACGCCTACCTGCCCGTGGTAAGGAATGGATTCCCTGGTTTGTTTTGCTTTGTGGGGTTTTTGCTTTACTTTGGAAACTCTTTTTCTCAACCCATGAGTTTTCTCGCTTCTAACTCTGCCAGCTCTCACCCCCACCCTACTGCAGGGGTGAGCTGCCAGCTGGGACACAACCAGGACACATTCCTTCTGAAACACACTGAAATGCACAGGGGATGGATCTGGAGCTGTCCTCCACAACAGCTCCCAGGAGATGGGAGAGAAGTTGGAAATACACCCCAAAGGATTCACATCAACATCTCCAGACCCCTCTGAGGGAGGCCACAGCACTGGGCTGGGTCAGGAGGAGCATCTCTCACCATCACACAGCTGTCCCAGCACAGCAGCAGCCCAAAAGCCATTAAAAAGCACTCACAGCCATCCCTGCTCAGTGTGTGCCGCCCCAGGCTCTGGGCTGGCTGCTCCTTGTGTTTGTGTGCTCAGTGTAGGATAATGTGTACAGGGAAGTAAATTTTCTGCACAGCTTCGAGCCATTATTCAGAGGGGTCAGCAATGTGCATGTAAACATCCTCAGAGCAAGCAACAACCGAATGCAAGCAATTTAAACCCTGAGATAGAAGGAAAGCAGGCAGCAGCACACCATCCTCCAGGGCTGTGAAAATAAAGGAAAACAAAAACAGGGAAAACCAAAATCACAGAGACTGCCACTGCATTACCCACTGCACCAACCAGACACATGGACAGTAGAAAGTCAAGCACATAGATGTATTTCTCTCAGTCCTAGATAAATTTACACACAAAAGCATCTGTGAGCTGGGTTAAGCTAACCCTGTCAGGGCCACACATGTCAGTAATTTGTAAACTTTAAATTAAGCAAGAGGGAAAACTATGAAGTACATGCATCAGTTAATATGATGCATGACCTCTCTGAACTGCAGTGTGGGACTTCAGAGGTGCCCAGAGTGAGAGTTATTGATGCTGAAGTGCTGGGAACAGGCTCTGTACTGCTCTCAGTCTGGATCAGCTTGTAAAGATCAACACTTCTTGATGCTGGCACTGACAGAATGAAATGAGGATTGTGCAGGGTGAGTCATTACCAGCTCCTCTGCCTGCACTGCTCATGGTGCTCCTGCCCTGTACAGCTCACTCCAAGCTGTCCTATTCACACAGGACAGCACAACCTGAACCTCTGCTGGGTGTACACAAACCTCAAAGTGGCTTTTAGAATCCTGAAGGGTAGAGACAGTTCCAGGTCATGGCAGACATGCTGCATTCTGCAGCCTTTTTTTGGTTTTTGGCAGAGAAGTTACCTTAGTTCATCCAACGCTGGAGTCCTCCATTACATTTAATTCAGCCTGGGTAAATGTTAAGAGGTTGGAATATTTTTTACTGTATCACTTGCAAGCAAACACACAATGCTTACACTGGTTTTGCAGGTCACTGTTAAAACACCATAACTGAAAAGTCTGCTGTGAGTCACTGACAAGCTCTGTCAACAGTGTCTAAACATTAATTTTGAAGTGACTTTCAGTGCTAGAAAAGGAACATCAGTGTCTTTGCCTCGGTGACCTTGCCAGCCCTCACCATCCACACAGCCCTGGAGGGAAGGTGCAGCTGCAGCAGCCAGATCAGTGTTGTATTTCTGATTAAAAACTACTTTCAACACCAACTTAATTTCAGCAGACCACCAAAAACAGCCAGTGTGAACTATAAAGCATTTGCCTTTCCCCTCCCTGCCTGCAGTTATCTGATGCCATCCCTCTCAGCAGAGCTGTGTGCGAGGCTGCAGGCACGGTGCCACCACGAGCAGAGGAAGGATGGGCACATATGTCCTCAAAGTCCCTCTCCCTGGGAAAATGGGCAGATTGCTGACATTGATGGGATTCTGGAAGCTCTTCTCCTTCTTTCTTGCTTTCTTCCCCCAGCCCCCTGTTTGTAAAAGACGTCTGAGGCTCTAGAAATCCAGACACAGCATACAGAGACCAGAATGTTGCTTTTTTTAGTGGTTTCCTTCAGGGATGCTGCATGGGATTTGACTCAATTATGCAAATTACATAACTTGATGATACTCCTTCAACAAATGCTCTAGACTGTGATATCAGAGCAATCTGCAAAACACAGCAAGTTTCCTAAGACTGACTTTTTCTTTAACTCTTAAACAAGCATCTCATTTATGGGGAGTTATGTCATACATGTAATGCTGTATTTCATCTCAATTTACACTCTCATCCTAATTTCTCATTAACTATAACTGCATAGCAGGAGGTGGAACATTTTTGTCCAAACCCTCCACCCCATCCCCCCTTATGTGCATTTTATCTGTGGAATGCAGTGACCATTGTTTGAACATTTGAGCTGTCAATTCTGCATGGTTAGGGTAAATTCACATTATGGACGTGGATTGCTATCCCTACAAAAGAGGTCAGCAATTTTCACTTCTGCTCTGTAACAGCTCTGTGTTAGCTTCCCATTTTGCAAAAATATTGCTGTTTTTTTAAATGGTCAATTGTAAACAACACGTAAAAATCAGATTTTAAAGCGTGAAGGTTTCATTATGATTATCCACTCAGGCTATATAAGTGTACCATTGAATTCCATCCAGTAACTCCTCCAACAAGCCCATAAGTTCTATTTCAGCTCAAGCACATTTTCTTTCCCTTAAGAACTGAAAGTTGTTTACCACTAAGGAGTGATTACTTCTCCAGCAATATCTTAAACCGCTCTCCTGCCTGTTTCCAGCCTTCATTTTTTAAAAACTGAAAATGAACTAAAGTAGAAAGGCATATTAAGCAATACATTGAAAATGGATTTAGACAGATTGCTGTAAATAAGCCCCTTCTGTTGTCTACCACACTGTTACTGAACACGCCGCCAAAGCAATTGATCAGCGTTCAAACGCCAAATGCACAAAAACAGAATTTTAATTTTTTGTTTAATCACTATTTAGTGTGTCTGGCTGCAGCCAAAATAAAAAAAAAAGGAAGTGCAGATCGAGACATAAGCCAAGAGTTTTCTACACATGAGGAAAAAAGATTTGCTGAAGCATTTATGTTAACCATAATGCTGTACAGATCTCAAACTCTCTCCAAACATTTGTTTTGCTGATTTATTATTTTCTTTCAA